TTTGTAGGGTTATTTATTATTAGGCCTAAGCAAGCTTGAGATAGATGTGAAAACTAAATTATTTTTTTAGGTTTAGAAGAGAACTCCATTACCAGTTGCCCCCCATCAGAGAGAATATTAATGACTATCAGCTCAATTTAATGTCGTTTGTGAAAATCCACCCACACCAGATTCAGTGAAATTCAGTGTCCAGTCCTTTGTCCTCGAATCCTCCATCGACACACCTACTCCGTGAGCCGCACAATGTTAGCACCCCCGTTTTTCATCCTAATGTCGTGGAACATTCCCAGACATATTGTTTTGCAGGCAAGCATCCTACTAGTTTTTTTGGAAAAAAGTGTGGGTAGTATTGTGACAAACTGAATGAAGCCCCAAGAACATAAGAAGCAAACTCTCACCTTCCTCCACGCTGTCCTCCCCACTTGAGAACAAACGGCCAAATCTTCCAAGTGTCCAACTGCCCCCAGCATGAATTACAGGATCAGATAAAGTTTCCCAGGATTTCTCAGTTGGAATATCTCAGAGGACATCAGAATTCACACCTTCTCAGAGGCAGAGCTTCCACAGCCCAGCAGGGACGAGGTTGGCTAGATTTAAACATGACCTTGCCCAAGTGATGGGCTCCTAATCTTGTGCGTGTGCCACCTGAGGTCTGAAATTAAATAAGAACTTAAATAATAACAATAATAATAAGCTAATGGTCTCGGAAAACAACCAATAACTCTTGACGACACCACTGGTTTCCCCATCAAACGACCCAGAAATGAAGAATAAGTGAAGAAATTCTATACCAATGATGTGTCACTACCCAGATCTGGGTAGTGCTTTTGATTTGTAGTGCCACAAGGAATATGTGCTTCAACCAATCAGAAGCCCTACCCAGATCTGGCTAGTGACATGTCATCAGTATGGAACTTCTTTGCGTATTCCTTATTTTCAGGTCATTTCACAGGGAAACCAGTGGTAGCGTCATGAAATCTCAGCTGTTTTCAAAGCCTTAGCTAATGCAAGCCTAGCAACAAATATTATTACTTAATGCAACTAATGCAAGCTCATTAGCGTATTAAACAAAACTAGATATTTCTTGGTACTACAAACGCACCTGTAATGTATCTATGTAGTCAGTCAACTAATGCTCTGATTATGTGAATAAAAATCAGTAGGAAAAAAAAAGAATGCCACGGAGTCGATTCCTAAAACTAACTATGGGAAATAAAAAAAAAGAAAAAGAAAAAGAATACAGAGAGTGAATGCAGCACCAAGAAAATTGATTATAAAAAAAGAATGTAAATGCAATTAAAATTCTCCAGTCTGCTTTGTTTTAGACCTGGGTAGAAACCAAGTTCTCAAAATTTAATAATAAAAGAAGTTTCAGTTGTGAAATAATCAGCGATTTGGAAAAACCATTGTTACTACTGCAAGTTGCCTAGAAAAAAAAATTCAGCACAAGCAGACTAGAGATTGCCTGATAGACATTATGTACAAGTAAACTAATAAAAAATCTACTTTGTGTTGTGATACTTTAGATCCTACTATTCCTAAATCTTTTCCCCAGCCTCACTGTTTCTTAAGAGAATTTCCTGTTGCTTTGGAGTTCTTTTTTAAAATTAATCTGAATGGACAAAATCATTTGTGCACAGATGGGACCTAACTTTGAAGTCCCAACAGAGACCAAAATCAATCATCAACTTATTGAAAACCAAACAAAAATGAAACTATACCTTCTTGCCATACATACTCCTTACTTGTACCGTAAGAGGATCAGTAAGGACAATTGGGACTTCAAAGATTAAGGACATTGTGGCTATAAATGCTTTCCTATTCCTATCCAAACTGTGCTTTGTAGATTTAGCCTGCAAAATGTAAATGCAATTCCAGCTGCAGCTTTGTGACCAAAGAAAGTCAGAGATGGCTGAAAAGAAAACTACTTAGATTTTCCCTTAAGGGAAAATCATCAAACGTTTTATGGTTATCATCTATACATTCTACCCTTATAAATTATAGCTCATAAGTAATCTGTATTGCTATTTTTATCTCGGAAATGTAACGATGTGTACCTGTCCAGTACTATTCCTTGCAGCCTGTATAGTCCCTGAGTTAAGAAAGTAATGTTATTTAGGAGGTTTAAAGTTAATATTTTGCTAATGAGCTTGCTGTAGAGTGTTAATTTTAGAAATAAGTTATAACTTATACTGTATTGGTGAAATCCTGGTTCTTCAAACCTCTTGATTACCAAAACTTGTTTTCCTTTCCCTGAAGTCACTGAAATTTTTTCAATTTCCCCTTGGGCTTTCTCAACAAGAAAATGACAAGAAAGCCCAAATCCCAAAACGCAAAATGAAGCTTAGTATCTCTAATTCTCTGGACTCCCAATTTTCTAAAATCCTCATTTTCACAAGAGGTTCAAAAAATTATAGTTCCACTCTGTTACTTAATGTAACACAGGAAGCGCAGCACTATCAGCCCCTATTTCTTTAACACTAATTTTGTAACCTAATCCTCCCACATGACATCCTCCACAACTTACCTTAAAAGCCATTCCTCTTGCAGGAAATTCAGGAACTGATTTCCATCAAACCAATGCAAGAACATTTTGCCAGTGGGAAAAAGATTATCGATCAAAAATACCTCTTTACCCCTAATTTGTCCCCTTAATATTGAGATAAGAAATATCCTTTCTTCATACCCCCTAATCTCCACCCCCCCTCCTACACCTCAAAATCCTTCAACCCTCCTTATAAGGTAGATGGGGGCTTAAATGAGCTCTTACAGTTTTAAGTAAAAAATAATCTATAAAATATCCACACCCACCCAACTACTATAACTATATAAATTATTAAAGATTATAATAACGTCATGATCAGTATTATTTTAGCAAGATTTCCTTTGAGCAGTGAAGTAATAGGCCCAAGGGTAGTTAACTTTATGAGATTTTGGAGTAGGGATGTGCCATTGCACCCTGAAACCCCTCGCCCATACCAGAGCGTTCAGCTCAATTTTACTTAACCCTACAGTATACTAGACCAAATTGGTCTAAAAACTAATTTTTGAAAGCCCTCCTCTCTAACTGGTGATTGGATGACATACTGTTTCGCAGCTTTGATAAAATTGCTAATTCCTGAGGAAAATGTCATTTATAATCACTTATTATTAATTAATATTGGCTACAGTGTTTCGTTCACTTTGTCTGGCAAAAAATTATTCTCCCCTGAGGTAAAAAAGACCTCCTTTGTAAAATTGAATAACATACTACTCAAAGGAATCTTGCATTTGATCTTAATAATTATTAACATTTAAGTAGTACAAATAAGCATCTTGATGCACTTTCAAATTTTGGCTTCGCCCATGAAATTTTTTGGAACAAAATACTCCAATTTGAAAAAATGAAGACCACAAACTTATTTAATTTAGGAAAATGCTGCCTATTAATAAGTCCCTGCCCAGTTAAAAATTAAACTGGATGGTCACTTATTTACATAAAAATATATTATGTCATGAAATTCAATCTCAGACTTGAAAACAAAATGTTAAGAAAATTTTCGAAGTGATGCTTATTTGTACAAATATGGTGGCACACACACTGTAAAATAAATCTAATCATTACTATTGTAATATTGCAGATACCTTAAGTATTCCCTGCAATAGTGAATTAAAGAATTCCTTAATAAAAAATACCTTTGTTGATCTCACTACATATTCAGCAAAAATGTCATGAAGATACTAGCTGATTTTTAATTGGAGGAAATTAGGTTTTCTTTGAATGAGTAAAGTTAAGTCGTTTGAAAGCTACTAGTATAATTCAAAGGAAAAATATTGCAAGTGAATCAATTCACTCTTGTTGGGAATACCATGGACCTGTTTTTACTAATACATGAGGGTCCTATTTGAATGTTGAAATAGTCAATATTCTTTGGCTTTTGGTTTTTGTTTTTGGTGTTTTTCTTTTTCGCTGCCAAACTAAATGAATTTGCCTATTGCTGTTGAATGGGGGTTGTGGAACAACAGCTGGGTGAAAAACCTCCCCGTACGTCCACTTGCTCCTAGGAGGAAAACCCCGGGCCAGCTGTACCCCGCATTCAATGACCTCCCGGGCTGGGTCAGAATGGTCTTTAATAGATCAAGTACCTGCTTTGAAGTAGGTTACTGGCCTTACTGTTAGTATTAATAATTATGATTGTATAAATACTAAACCAGGTATTCATTGTCGGTCGACTTTGATGATACCATCCTCTAGTGCAGCCTCTTTACTCCTGGCTTTTGAACTCCTGTGTTGCGAGATTGATGAATTGCAAACCAGTAATGCCAAATCTGTTATTCTTCTGTGCATAAGAAGAAAATAAAAATAATTCATTATCATTCATTGGAAACTTATTTGTGACTCAAATGATGACTTCTGGCTTGTAGGTATTTACAGCGACAGAGACAAACAAAGGATGTACCAACAGTGTAATGTCTAAGATCTAGTCATTTACCCAGGACTCACACGTAAACGACAAACTTATAGCACCACATGTGCATTTCTAAATAAGACTATAAGCCTGACTGCAATGACTAGGATGACTATGGTAACTAGGGTGACTAGAATGACTAAGATAACTGGAATGATCAGGGTTACTGGGATGACTAAGATGACTAGGGTGACTGGATGATTAAGATGACTGAGGTGACTGGGGTGACTGAGGTGACTAGGGTGACAAGAGTGAATGGGTTGACTGTGATGGCTGGGAAGGTTTGGCCGGCTGGAATGACTAGGATGACTAGGAATACTGGGATGACAAGAGATACGATAAGAGGCCTGGGTTGACTGGGGTGACAGGCATGACTGGGGTCACTGGGGTGACTGGGATGACTGGGGTGCCTTGGGTGACTGGGATGATTTGGATGACTGGCACAACTCTTATTAATGGGATGGCTAGCATGTCTGGGATAACTAGGATGACTAGGAAAACTAGGGTAACTGTGTTGAATGGGATGAATAGGATGACTAGGATGGCTATGATGACTATGATAACTGGAGTGACTAGGATTACTGGGTTGACTGGGATCACTGGCGTGACCATGGCGACTAGGGTGACAGGAGTGGCTTGGATAACTGGGATGCCTGGCATAACTGGAATGTTAAACTGTCAAAGGTTTGAACCCAGGAGTCGTTTAGTAGGTACAAAATGTAGGTTGAGCATGATCATCCAGGAGATTGTAGTCCTGAATTAAGACTGTTGTTGACAATGATTAACGTTTTGACAAACTGTGCGGCAGTCATCTTCAGAGTCAAAGTGAGTTGTGTCATGTCAGTTGATAAAATTGAAACCTGGTCATTGACATGATTGGTCAATTAGGTCATGATGATATTGGTTGTCTGTCAGTTAAGCTGTGATATTGTTATTTGGATGAATAGATTGAAGAGCAGGGATGACTAGGATGATTGTGATGAAAAGGATAATTAAAATAACTAAGATGGCTTAAGGTGGAGTAGGGAACTGGGATGGATGGCTGTCAATTATAACTGGGGGCTGGGGATTTCCCCTGACTACTACAAGTGTGACCCCCATCCACTTTATTATAGGAAACAAAAGGAAAATAGAACCAAAAGAACTTCCTAACCATTCAATTCACCGCCTTCTAACTGAATATAATCACCAACTTGAAAAGTATATAAGTGACAGGCCTGGGGATGGCTGAGGTAATTAGGGGACTGGGATGACTAGGGTGATGAAATAACTGACAGAGATAATTATTAGAATGACAGGGAAGACAAGGATGACTTGGGTGACTGGGATGATTTGGATAACTGGAATCACTGGGATTACTGAAATGACTGCAGTGACTAGGATGACTGGGATGACTGGGGTGACTGGGATTACTGAGAAGACTAGGATGACTGGGATGACTGGGACGACTACAATGACTGGGATGACTACAATGACTAGGTTTAGGATGACTGGGGTTACTAAGATGACTCGGATGACTGGGATGACTGGGATGACTACGATGACTAGGGTGACTGGGATCACTAGGTTTAGGATGACTGGGATGAATAGGATGACTAGGATGACTGGGATGACTAGGATGACTGGGGTGTCTGGGATTACTGGGATGACTAGGATGACTGGGATGAAGTGGTTTAGAGATGAATGGGATGACTATGATGACTAGGATGACTGGGATTACTAGGATGACTGGGGTGACTGGGATTACTGGAATGACTAGGATGACTGGGATGACTTGGATTACTGGGATGACTAGGATGACTGGGGGTGACTAGAATGAGTAGGATGACTGGAATTATTTGGGTGACTAGGGCGCTTTTCATTTTAAATTTGTCAGAAATGACTGGCCAGCTCATCCCCATCATAATGAGAACTTTAGTTTTAATCAAAACTAACCATCCAGATCAGTCAAATTAATGCTAAACATTATACACAAAGGAAATGGTTTTTCAGCAAAACCTCTTGGAAAATGCATATTGTATTTAAAAAATGTCTGGTTCGGCCTTGGTCTAGCTGGCCAGTTCTGACTTTTGAAAGTGCCCTAAGATGACTAGGGTGACTGGAATGACTAGAGTCAGACTAGGGTGACTAGGATGACTGGGATGACTAGGATGACTAGGGTCACTAGGATGACTGGGATGACTAGGATGACCAGGATGAAAAGGATGACTAGGGTGACTGGGATGACTAGAGTCAGACTAGGGTGACTAGGATGACTAGGGTCACTAGGATGACTGGGATGACTAGGATGACCAGGATGAAAAGGATGACTAGGGTGACTGGGATGACAAGAGTCAGACTAGGGTGACTAGGATGACTGGGATGACTAGGATGACTAGGGTCACTAGGATGACTGGGATGACTAGGATGACCAGGATGAAAAGGATGACTAGGGTGACTGGGATGACTAGAGTCAGACTAGGGTGACTAGGATGACTAGGGTCACTAGGATGACTGGGATGACTAGGATGACCAGGATGAAAAGGATGACTAGGGTGACTGGGATGACAAGAGTCAGACTAGGGTGACTAGGATGACTGGGATGACTAGGATGACTAGGGTCACTAGGATGACTGGGATGACTAGGATGACCAGGATGAAAAGGATGACTAGGGTGACTGGGATGACTAGAGTCAGACTAGGGTGACTAGGATGACTAGGGTCACTAGGATGACTGGGATGACTAGGATGACCAGGATGAAAAGGATGACTAGGGTGACTGGGATGACAAGAGTCAGACTAGGGTGACTAGGATGACTGGGATGACTAGGATGACTAGGGTCACTAGGATGACTGGGATGACTAGGATGACCAGGATGAAAAGGATGACTAGGGTGACTGGGTTAACTAGGATGACTAGAATTACTGGGGTGACTAGGATGAATGGGATGACCATGGAAATGAGGATGACTAGGATGACTGGGTTGCCTAGAATGACTGGAGTAACTGGGTGACTGGGATGACTGGGAAAATTAGGCTGGCTGCGATCACTAGAATAACTAGGATGACCAAGTGCTTTTATAGCTCTGGGCTTCATGTGCCAACTCTACTGGAACAAAATACCTACACTGGATGTACAAAAAAACCTACCCATTCAAGGAGTTGCATATAAAGACTTTAAACCAGTAATTTTATCAAAGCAGCTGAAAAGCATACCTTTCACACAGCCCGGTTTGCAAATTCAGTGCATGAGAAGTAGGTTTCAAATTACACATGTGCTGTCAAGCCAAAAATGCAGTTCAACAAATGCACAGTTTTCTTATTTTGCCGCTGTAATTTGTGAAATTCATAAAATTGTAGTGACTGAAAAAAGCTATAAAGAACATAAGCTACCATCATTTTGTGGTATTTATATATGAATTTTTATCGATGTTTTTGATATCTTGTGGGTGAAAGTTGCCACTATACATGAAAGATAACTACACACTTCAAAAGAGCTGACATTTAATTTGGTGAAGAAACTCATTGCCAGCAATTTGCAGTATACTTGGTTCTTCTCATGTTGGTTTTTTCATTCACAAAATCAAAGCAACTACAAAAGATTTTCACATACATGATTCTCATAGTGCGACACAATTCTTATCGTGCAGGAAACAAGACACAACTTGTAACTTACTTTACAGTGGTAAGTAGAATGACTATAGGGTGACTGGGATAACTGGGATGAATGGGTTAACTGGGATGACCAGGATGACAGGGATGATTTGGATGACTAAGGATGACTAGGGTTCATGACTAGGATCAATGAGGGTGATTAGGGTGACTGGGATAACTACTAAAAAAAATGACTGTGATTTCTAGGATGACTGGGATGACTGGGGTGACTTGGATGACTAGGGTGGGTGGGATAAGTAGAATGACTAACATGACTGGGATACACAGGATGACTGCGATAAATAGGATAACTGCATTGACTGGAATTACTGAGGTGACTGAGATGACTAGGACCAAGCTTATCCTCTGATAGGTACCTCTGAGTCTCTAAACAAAGTGTGTTATACCAGTTTAGAAAGTTAAAAAAAGAAAAAGGTTTTGATACCTGGAATGCCTGAATTCACCAATGGGACACTGCCATCCTCCTGCTGCTTTTGATGTCATTCTCCCTTTAATCGAAGAAATGTTTTGATATCCAACTTGTGATGGGCTAGGAATCTTCCAGAACATTCCCAAATGGGACAGGGTCTGTGAAATGGCCTGCAGAGATGTAAGAAGTAATACAATTAATAAATTTCACTACCAAGTAGAAAGGAAGAATTAGTTTCCCTATGTACATTCTTTTTTCCTGCAAAAATTCATGTTTCCTACCAGATTCAATAAATGAAGTCTTGCTTTCATATTTTTACTGTCAAACCAACAAACCTGCAGACACCAGAAATATTTCTGGAGCATGTGTTGTAAGTAAAGAAATCTTAATAATCAGGCATGCGAAAACTAAACCGCAAGCAAAAAATGACAAATTAGTTTGTGATTTTGTGGAAAACTCACACATCCTAATATCTGCTGTGATTGGTCATTCCTGAAATATTTCAAGTTTTCATGGTTTTGTCAGTTTCACAGTAAAATTCATTAAAGATGACAAAGAGACAAAGACAAAGAGACTACAAAAGCCTGCCTGCAATATCAAATTTGTGATCTGACAACAGCTTTAAGTTGGTTTGTGAGTACCAACTCAAGAAACATTAAATGAGTGTAATAATGCGAACTGGTCCTTCAACTTAAAAAAGTGACTGTAGAACAACAGCTGGGTGATTATAGCCTGCCCCAAATGTCCCCTTCCTCATACATGTAAGAGAAAAACCCTGAGCAACACAGCTGAACCCCAAAATCAGTGATCTCCAGGGCTGGGTCATAGAAAGTGTAAAACCAAGTCTCTTTAATGAACATTGGTAACCATTAGCAATATATCATTTTTGACAGCATACTAACCAAACCAGATGACTAGAGTATGATGCTGTTGTCCTCTAAATCCAGACTATCCTCCACAGAATGCAGTCCATTTCTATTAACCTCTGACCAGGTCGCCTGAGAAAATAAATAAAACATCTTTATAAGCACACAAACTGGGGATGATATGATAGTTAACTCTTGTTAAACCCATCAGCAATAGATGGGTGTAAGGAAGGCACCTGGTGAAACTGAAGGGAGCTGCAAGCGAGCCTAGAAGGTAACCATGACAACCCTGTGAGTGGCACCCACCAAGCACCATCATACTGAGAACCTCAGTGGAGAAATGCGCAGACACTTACCAAGAAAAACATCCAAAGGGGAGGGGGGCTGGGGGCAAATAAAGCTAAAGTTATTCCACGGAAAGGAAACCCTGGGCAAAATGATTGGCTTCTGCGAAAACGCTGTAAAATTACTAAAGCCCAAGAAGGAGAACATCACCCATTTCGAGTTAAGAAATAGGAACAAATTGACAATAAAAAGTTTAAATTTTAAATAATGAGAATATTTGTCAGGACTTAAGGGCAAAAAGTGCCAGGAATACTTAACAATAATAATGATTTGATGAGCTTGAATTCATGTTATAATGCTCTACTCAATGGCACAATAGTAACTTGGGGTAAAATAAATTTTAAATCTGGGTTTCTTTTTGTTCAAAAACATTTTCTCTAACAATTTTCTCAGTCTGTTATTTTGAAACATCCAATCATCAAATTAGAGACTATAGGCTTTCATATTTGCATTCAAATTTCCCTTTAACCCTGAGTTATCTTAACCCAGCTTTGAACAACCCAGTCATCAGTTAATTTTATATCGTTTTTGACAGCATACTAACCAAACCAGATGCCTAGAGTATGATGCTGTTTTCCTCTAAATCCAGACTCTCCTTCAAAGAATGCAGTCCATTTCTATTAACCTCTGACCAGCTTTCCTGCGAAAATAAATAACCCATCTTTATAAGCACACAAACTGGGGATGATATGATAGTTAACTCTTGTTAAACCCATCAGCAATAGATGGGTGTAAGGAAGGCACCTGGTGAAACTGAAGGGAGCTGCAAGCGAGCCTAGAAGGTAACCATGACAACCCTGTGAGTGGCACCCACCAGGCACCATCATACTGATAAGTGGAGAAATGCGCAGACACTTACCAAGACAAACATCCACAGGGGAGAGGGGGGGTAGCAAAAAATGCTAAAGTTACTTCACGAAAAGGCAACCTGAGCAAAATGATTGGCTTCTCCAAAAATGCTGTAAAATTACTAAAGCCCTGCTAAAGCCTAAGATGGAAAACATCACCCATTTCGAGTTAAGAAATGGGACTAAATTGACAACTTTAAAGTCCCAAATCTTCCTCAGGTTTCTTGATTAAAATTGAGGTTATGTTGTAAGCTGTTTATACTTCTGTTTAAATAATGACAAACCAGGAAGTTGTAAAAACCTTTGTCACCATGAGCTCATTGACTGAACATATAAATTGGTTGTCGTTAATTATGCCAAAAAGCTACTATCTTGTTTAACAAGTTGATTTAGCCCTACATTTGCATAATGTTCCCCACTTCAACTACTGCATCAAAGTCATCACAACCATCCCAGTCATCAAAGACATCCCAATCATAGTTATCACAATCACCCGAGTTGTCCCAGTCATCTTAGTAATCTGAGTCATCCAGTAATCCTAGTAATCAAAGCCACCCTAATCAACCCAATATCTCACTAGTCAAACTTACTATAAAAGTTTTATTTGTTGGATTTATTAATTCTGTTTTCATTATCATTCATTGGAAACTTACTTGTTACTCAAATGATGAGTTCTGGCTTGTAGGTATTTATAGCGACAGAGACAAGAAAGGGATGTGCCAACAGTGTAATGTCTAAGATCTAGTCATTTACCCAGGACTCACATGTAAACAACAACCTTATAGCACCACATGTGCATTTCTAAATAAGACTACAAGCCTGACTGCAATGACTAGGATGACTAAGGTAACTAGGGTAACTAGAATGACTACAAAAACTGGAATGATCAGGGTTACTGGGATGACTAAGATGACTAGGGTGACTAGGATGATTAAGATGACTAAGGTGGCTGGGGTGACTGAGGTGACTAGGGTGACAAGAGTGAATAGGTTGACTGTGATGGCTGAGAAGGTTTGGCTGACTGGAATGACTAGGATGACTAGGAATACTGGGATGACAAGAGATAAGATAAGAGGCCAGTGTTGACTGGGGTGACAGGCATGCCTGGAGTGACTGGGGTGACTGGGATGATTTGAATGACTGGCATAACTCTTACTAATGGGATGGCCACCATGACTGGGATAACTAGGATGACTAGGAAAACTGGGGTGACTGTGTTGAATGGCAATGGTGACTATGATAACAGGAATGACTAGGATTACTGGGTTAACTGGGATCAATGGCATGACCATGACAACTAGGGTGACTAGGATGACTAGGGTGACAGGGGTGGCTTGGATAACTGGGATGCCTGGCATAACTGGAATGTTAAACTGTCAAAGGTTTGAACCCAGGAGTCGTTTAGTAGGTACAAAATGTAGGTTGAACATGATTATCCAGGTGATTGTAGTCTTGAATAGGACTGTTGTTGACAATGATTAACGTTTTGACAAACTGTTCGTCAGTCATCTTCAGAGTCAAAGTGAGTTGTGTCATGTCAGTTGATAAAATTGAAAACTGGTTATTGACCTGATTGGTCAATTAAGTCACGATGATATTGGTTGTCTGTCAGTTAAGCTGTGATGCTATTTGGATGAATAGACTGAACAGCAGAGGTGACTGGGATGACTGTGATGAAAAGGATAATTAAAATAACTAAGATGGCTTAAGGTGGATTAGGGAACTGGGATGGATGGCTGTCAATTATAACTGGGGGCTGGGGATTTCCCCTGACTACTACAAGTGTGACCCCCATCCACTTTATTATAGGAAACAAAAGGAAAATAGAACCAAAAGAACTTCCTAACCATTCAATTCACCGCCTTCTAACTGAATATAACCACCAACTTGAAAAGTATATTAGTGACAGGCCTGGGGATGGCTGAGACAATTGGGGGACTGGGATGACTAGGGTGATGAAATAAGTGACAGAGATAATTATTAGAATGACAGGGAAGACAAGGATGACTTGGGTGACTGGGATGATTTGGATAACTGGAATCACTCAGATTACTGAAATGACTGCAGTGACTAGGATGACTGGGATGACTGGGGTGACTGGGATTACTGAGATGACTAGGATGACTGGGATGACTGGGAGGACTGGGAGGACTACAATGACTGGGATGACTACAATGACTAGGATGACCGGGATGACTAGGTTTAGGATGACTGGGGTTACTAAGATGACTAGGATGACTGGGGTGACTGGGATTACTGGGATGACTAGGATGACTGGGATGACTAGATTTAGGATAAATGGGATGACTATGATGACTAGGATGACTGGGATGGCTAGGATGACTGGGGTGACTGGGATTACTGGGATGACTAGGGTGACTGGGATGACTAGGATGACTAGGATGACTGGGATGACTAAGATCACTGGGGTGACTGGGATTACTGGGATGACTAGGATGAATGGGATGACTAGGATGACTAGGATGACTGGGATGACTAGGATGACTGGGGTGACTGGGATTACTGGGATGACTGGGATGACTAGGTTTAGGATGAATGGGATGACTAGGATGACTTGGATTACTGGGATAACTGGGATGACTAGGATGACTGGGGGTGACTAGAATGAGTAGGATGACTGGAATGACTTGGGTGACTAGGGCGCTTTCCATTTTAAATTAATTGTCAGAAATGACTGGCTAGCCCATTCCCATCATAATGAGAACCTTAGTTTTAATCAAAACTAACCATCCAGATCAGTCAAATGCTAAACATTATACACAAAGGAAATGGTTTTTCCGCAAAACCTCTTGGAAAATGCCTATGGCATTTAAAAAATGTCTGGTTCGGCCTCGGTCTAGCCGGCAAGTTCTGACTTTCGAAAGTGCCCTAAGATGACTAGGGTGACTGGGATGACTAGAGTCAGACTAGGGTGACTAGGATGACTGGGATGACTAGGATAACTAGGGTCACTAGGATGACCGGGATGACTAGGTTGACTAGGATGACTAGAATTACTGGGGTGACTAGGATAACTTGGATGACCATGGGAATGAGGATGACCAGGATAACTGGGTTGACTAGGATGACCGGGGTGACTGGGTGACTGGGATGACTGGGAAAATTAGGCTGGCTACGATCACTAGAATAACTAGGATGACCAAGTGCTTTCATAGCTCTGGGCTTCATGTGCCAGCTCTAATGGCAGAAAATACCTACATCGGATGTTTAAAAAACCTACCCATTTATGGGGCTGCTTATAAAGACTTTAAACTAGTAAGTTTATCGAAGCAGCTGAAAAGCATACCTTTCACACAGCCCAGTACGCAAATTCAGTGCATGAGAGGTAGCTTTCAAATTACACACGTTTTGACATTATGCAAAGTGATGTGCTGTCAAGCAAAAAATGGGGTTCAGCAAATGCACAGTTTTCTTATTCTGCTGCTGTAATTATTTTGTGAAATTCATAAAATTGTAGTCACTGTATAAAAAAGCTATAAAGAACAACAAGCTACCATCATTTCATGGTATTTATATATGAATTTTTATTGATGTTGTTGATATCTTGTGGGTGAAAGTTGCCACTACACATGAAAGATAACTACACACTTCAAAAGAGCTGACATTTAATTTGGTGAAGAAACTCATCGCTAGCGATTTGCAGCATAGTTGGTTCTTCTCATGTTGGTTTTTTCATTCACAAAATCAAGGCAACTACAAGAGATTTTCACGTTTCAGCGAACAAACGGTCATGATCGAATGCACTGTCAATCCCTAACAAATACGAAAACTAAGAAACTCCAATTAAACAGTGTTCTAATAAAATGAAAAGCTCCAAGAAAACCTCCTGAAACAGACTTAAAATTATGCAAAATCTAACGTCCATTATCTTCAGTCTTTGAAGCAACACTACAGAAAATGGTTTCTCATTGGACATGTCATCTATAATTTGTGCCAAAAATTACTGCTTCAGTGGTTCTCAATACTTGATTCTCATAATGCCATGCAATTCTCATCGTCGGGAAACAAGACACAACTGGTAACTTACTTTAGAGTGGTAAGTAGGATGACTATAGGGTGACTGGGTAACTAGGATGACTGGAATGCCTAGGGTGGCTATGGTGACTGGGATAACTGGGATGAAAGGGTTGACTGGGATGACCAGGATGACAGGGATGATTTGGATGACTAAGGATGACTAGGGTTCATGACTAGGTTAAATGAGGATGACTAGGGTCACTGGGATAACTAGTAAAAAAAAATGACATGTGATTTCTAGGATGATCGGGTTGACTGGGGTGACTTTGGTGACTTGGATGGCTGGGTTGGGTGGGAAAAGTAGAATGACTAAGATGACTGGGATACATTAGGATGACTGCGATAAATAGGATGACTGCATTGACTGGAATTACGGCGGTGACTGAGATGACTAGGACCAAGCTTATCCCCTGATAGGTACCCCTGAGTCTCTAAACAAAGTGTGTTATACCAGTTTAGAAAATTAAAAAAAGGAAAAAGCTTTTGATACCTGGAATGCCTGAAATCACCAATGGGATGCTGCCATCCTCCTGCTGCTTTTGATGTCATTCTCCCATTAATTGAAGAAATGTTTTCGATATCCAACTTGTGATGGGCAAGGAATCTTCCAGAACATTCCCAAACGGGAACGGGGTCTGTGAAATGGCCTGCAGAGATGTAAGAATTAATACAATTAATAAATTTCACTGCCAAGTAGAAAGAAAGATTTATTAGTTTCGCTACGTATATATGGACATTCTGTTTTCCTGCAAAAATTCATGTTTCCTAGCAGATTAAATAAATGAAGTCTTGCTTTGATAATTTGTTACTGTCAAACCAACAAACCTGCAAACACCAGATTTCTAGAGCATGTGTTGTAAGAAAAAAAACTCTTGACAATCAGGCATGCGAAAACAAGCAGAAAATGACAAATTAGTTTGTGATTTTGTGGAAAACTCACACACCCTGATATCTGCTGTGGTTGGTCATCCCTGAAATATTTCAAGTGTTCATGGTTTTGTCAGTTTCACAGTAAAATTCATTAAAGATGTTTACAAAGAGACTTCAAAAGCCTGCCTGCAAAATCTGGGTCCAGTTGTTCGAAGGCTGTTTAGCACTAACTTGGGGTAAAATAAATTTTGAATCTGGGTTTCTTTTTGTTCAAAAGCATTTTATCTAATAATTTTCTCAGTCTGTTATTTTGAAACATCCAATCATCAAATTAGAGACTTTAGGCTTTCATATTTGCATTCAAATTTCCCACTAACCCAGCTTTGAACAACCCAGTCACGTTAATTTTATTTTTTTTTGTGATCTGACAACAGCTTTAAGTTGATTTGTGAATACCAACTGAACAAACATTAAATGAGTGTAATAAGGTGAACTGGTCATAGTTAAAAAAGTGACTGTAGAATGACAGCTGGGTGATTATAGCCTGCCCCAAATGTCCCCTTCCTCATACATGTAAGAGAAAATCCCTGAGTAACACAGCTGAACCCCAAAATCAGTGATCTCCTGGGATGGGTCATAGAAAGTGTAAAACCAAGTCTCTGTGATGAACACCGGTAACCATTAGCAATATATCATTTTTGACAGCATATTTACCAAACCAGTTGCCTAGAGCTTGATGCTGTTTTCCTCTAAATCCAGACTCTCCTCCAAAGAATGCAGTCCATTTCTATTAACCTCTGACCAGCTTGCCTGAGAAAATAAATAACCCATCTTTATAAGCACACAAACTGGTGATGATATGATAGTTAACTCTTGTTAAACCGATCAACAATAGATGGGTGTGAGGAAGGCACCTGGCGAAACTGAAGGGAGCTGCAAGAGAGCCTAGAAAGTAACCATGACAACCCTGTGAGTGGCACCCACAAGGCACCATCATACTGATAACCTCAGTGGAGAAATGCGCAGACACTTACCAAGACAAACATCGACAGGGGAGGGGGGCTGGGAGCAAAAAATGCTTAAGTTACTTCACGAAAAGGCAACCTGAGCAAAATGATTGGCTTCTCTGAAAACGCTGTAAAATTGCTAAAGCCCTGCTAAAGCCTAAGATGGAGAACATCACCCATTTCGAGTCAAGAAATGGGAACAAATTGACAACTTTAAAGTCCCAAATCTTTTTCAGGTTTCTTGATTAAAATTGAGGTTATGTTGTAAGCTGTTTATACTTCTGTTTAAATAATGACAAACCAGGAAGTTGTAAAAACCTTTGTCACCATGAGCTCATTGACTGAACATATAAATTGGTTGTCGTTAATTATGCCAAAAAGCTACTATCTTGTTTAACAAGTTGATTTAGCCCTACATTTGCATAATGTTCCCCACTTCAACTACTGCATCAAAGTCATCACAACCATCCCAGTCATCAATCACCCAAGTTGTCCCAGTCATCTTAGTATAAATCTCAGTCATCCTAGTAATCTGAGTCATCCAGTCATCCTAGTAATCAAAGCCACCCTAATCAACCCAATATCACACTAGTCAAACTTACTATCAGAGTTTTATTTGTTGGATTTATTAATTCCGTTTTCATTGTCATTCATTGGAAACTTACTTGTTACTCAAATGATGAGTTCTGGCTTGTAGGTATTTATAGCAACAGAGACAAGAAAGGGATGTCCCAACAGTGTAATGTCTAAGATCTAGTCATTTACCCAGGACTCACATGTAAACAACAACCTTATAGCACCACATGTGCATTTCTAAATAAGACTATAAGCCTGACTGCAATGACTAGGATGACTATAAGGTAACTAGGGTAACTAGAATGACAACAAAAACTGGAATGATCAGGGTTACTGGGATGACTAAGATGACTAGGGTGACTGGATGATTAAGATGACTGAGGTGACTGGGGTGACTGAGGTGACTAGGGTGACAAGAGTGAATGGGTTGACTGTGATGGCTGAGAAGGTTTGGCTGACTGGAATGACTAGGATGACTAGGAATACTGGGATGACAAGAGATAAGATAAGAGGCCAGTGTTGACTGGGGTGACAGGCACGCCTGGAGTGACTGGGGTGACTGGGATGATTTGAATGACTGGCATAACTCTTACTAATGGGATGGCCACCATGACTGGGATAACTAGGATGACTAGGAAAACTGGGGTGACTGTGTTGAATGGCAATGGTGACTATGATAACAGGAATGACTAGGATTACTGGGTTAACTGGGATCAATGGCATGACCATGACAACTAGGGTGACTAGGATGACTAGGGTGACAGGGGTGGCTTGGATAACTGGGATGCCTGGCATAACTGGAATGTTAAACTGTCAAAGGTTTGAACCCAGGAGTCGTTTAGTAGGTACAAAATGTGGGTTGAGCATGATCATCCGGGTGATTGTGCTCCTGAATAGGACTGTTGTTGACAATAATTAACGTTTTGACAAACTGTGCGGCAGTCATCTTCAGAGTCAAGGTTAGTTGTGTCATGTCAGTTGATAAAATTGAAATCTGGTTATTGACCTGGCCCGGGTTGCTCGAAGCATGGTTAGTGCTAACCAGCGTTAAGTACCATGGAAACCTATACATTTTGATACCTCTTAACCAACGGTTAGCGCTAACCAGGCTTCGAGCAACCGGCCCCTGATTGGTCCATTAAGTCACGATGATATTGGTTGTCTGTCAGTTAAGAGCTCTGTGATGTTATTTGGATGAATAGGCTGAACAGCAGGGGTGACTGGGATGATTGTGATGAAAAGGATAATTGAAATAACTGAGATGGCTTAAGGTGGAGTAGGGAACCGGGATGTATGGCTGTCAATAATGGCCTGCGGCTGGGGATTTCCCCCAGCTACTATGAGTGTGACCCCCATCCACTTTCATATAGGAAACAAAGGGAAAATAGAACCAAAAGAACTTCCTAGCCATTCAATTCACCGCCTTCTAACTGCTTATAACCACCAACTTGAAAAGTATATTAGTGACAGGCCTGGGGATGGCAGAGGTAGTTGGGGGACTGGGATGACTAGGGTGATGAAATAACTGAGATGATTGCATGGGGTGACTGAGATAAATAGAATGACAGGGATGACAAGGATGACTTGGGTGACTGGGATGATTTGGATAACTGGAATCACTGGGATTACTGAGATGACTGTGGTGACTAGGATGACAGGGATGACTGGGGTGACTGTTATGACTGGGATGACTAGGTTGACTGGGATGACTGGGATGACTACAATGACTGGGATGACTACAATGACTAGGGTGACCAGGATAACTAGGTTTAGGATGACTGGGATTACTAAGATGACTAGGATGACTGGGATGACTGAGATGACTATGATGACTAGGGTGACAGGGATGACTAGGTTTAGGATGACTGGGATGACTAGGATAACTAAGATGACTGGGATGACTGGGGTGACTGGAATTACTGGGGTGACTAGGATGACTGGGATGACCATGGGAATGACGATGAATAGGATCACTGGGTGACTGGGATGACTGGGAAAATTAGGCTGGCTGCAATCACTAGAATGTAAAGTGCTTTTGGACCATTGGGAATTAGCGCTCTTTAAATATTGTATATTATTATTATTATTATTATTATTATTATTATTATTATTATTATTAACTGGGACGACCAAGTGCTTTCATAGTTTTGGGCTTCATGTGCCAACTCATTTTGTGGTATTCTATATATGAATTTTTATCGATGTTGTTGATATCTTGTGGGCGAAAGTTTCCATTACATATGAAAGATTGCTACACACTTCAAAAGGGCTGACATCTAATTTGGTAAAGAAACTCATTGCTAGCGATGAGTCAATCCCTAACAAATCTAAGAAACAAAGAAACTTCAATTAAACAGTGTGCTCATAAAATGAAATGCTCAAAGAAAACTTCCTGAAAGAAACTGAAAATTATGCAAAATCTAATGTTCATTTTCCTCAGTCTTTGAAGCAACACTACAATAAATGGTTTCTCATTGGACATGTTATCTATAATTTGTGCCAAAAATTACCGCTTCGATGATTCTCACTACATGATTCTCATAGTGCGACGCAATTCTCATCATGCAGGAAAGAAGACACAACGGGTAACTTACTTAAGAGTGGTAAGTAGGATGAGTACAAGGTGACTGGGATAACTAGGATGACTGGAATACCTAGGGTGACTATGGTGACTGGGATAACTATGAATGGGTTGACTGGGATGACCAGGATGATAGGGATGATTTGGATGACTAAGGATGACTAGGGTTCATGTATGAATAGGATAAATGAGGATGACTAGGGTGACTGGGATACCTAGTCAAAAAAAATGACTGTGATTTCTAAGATGACTGGGATGAATGGGGTGACTTTGGTGACTGGGATGACTAGGGTGGGTGGGATAAGTAAAATGACTAAGATGACTGGGATACACAGGATGACTGCGATCAATAGGATAACTGTATTGACTGGAATTACTGTGGTGACTGAGATGACTAGGACCCAGCTTATCCCCTGATAGGTACCCCTGAGTCTCTAAACAAAGTGTGTTATACCAGTTTAGAAAATTAAAAAAAGAAAAAGCTTTTGATACCTGGAATGCCTGAAATCACCAATGGGATGCTGCCATCCTCCTGCTGCTTTTGATGTCATTCTCCCATTAATTGAAGAAATGTTTTGATATCCAACTTGTGATGGGCAAGGAATCTTCCAGAACATTCCCAAATGGAACAGGGTCTGTGAAATGGTCTGCAGAGATGTAAGAAATAATACAATTAATAAATTTCACTGCCAAGTAAAAAGGAAGAATTAGTTTCCCTATGTATACGTGGACATTCTTTTTTCCTGCAAAAATTTACGTTTCCTACCAGATTAAATAAATGAAGTCTTGCTTTGATGTTTTTACTGTCAAACCAACAAACCTGCAAACACCAGAAATATTTCTAGAGCATGTGTTGTAAGAAAAAAAATCTAGACAATCAGGCATGCAAAAACTGAACCGCAAGCAAAAAATGATAAATTAGTTTGCGATTTTGTGGAAAACTCACACATCCTGATATCTGCTGTGACTGGTCATTCCTGAAATATTTCAAGTGTTCATGGTTTTGTCACTTTCACAGTAAAATTCATTAAAGATGTTTACAAAGAGACTACCGAAGTCTGGATGCAATATGAAATTTCTAAAATCTGGGTCCAGTTGTTCGAAGCCCATTTAGCACTAACTTGGGGTAAAATAAATTTTAAATCTGGGCTTCTTTTTATTCAAAAGCAGTTTTTTCTCTAATAATTTTTTCAGTCTGATATTTTGAAACACCCGGTCATCAAATTACAGACTTAAGGCTTTCATTTTTTGCATTCAAATTTCCCACTAACCCTGGGTTATCTTAACCCACCTTTGAACGACTCAGTCATGTTAATTTCAATTTTTTTGTGATCTGACAACAGCTTTAAGGTTGGTTTGTGAATATCAAACCAAGAAACATTAAACGCATGTAATAAGGCGAAAAGGCCCTAGTTAAAAAAAGTGACTGTAGAACAACAGCTGGGTGATTATAGCCTGCCCCAAATGTCCACTTCCTCACACATGTAAGAGAAAAACCCTGAGCAACACAGCTGAACCCCAAAATCAGTGATCTCCTGGGATGGGTCATAGAAAGTGTAAAACCAAGTCTGTGTAATGAACACCGGTAACCATTAGCAATATATCATATTTTTGACAGCATACTAACCAAACTAGATGCCTAGAGTATGATGCTGTTGTCCTCTAAATCCAGACTCTCCTCCACAGAATGCAGTCCATTCCCATTAACCTCTGACCAGATTGCCTGAGAAAATAAATAAACCATCTTTATAAGCACAAACTGGGAATGATATGATAGTTAACTCTTGTTAAACCCATCAACAATAGATGGGTGTGAGGAAGGGCCTGGTGAAACTGAAGGGAGCTACAAGTGACAAAGATGACTGGGTTAAATAAAATGACTAGGTTGACAAGGATAACTAGGATGACAAGGATTACTGGGGTGACTAGGATGACTGTTATTACTGGCACAATAGTTTTAAAACTTTGCTGTTACTCATTCCTTAAACCCCCTTATAGATAGGTGGATATTGCATTTTAGTAAAATCCAACTAGTGGTCTATTATCAATGCTGCATTCTGATTGGTTGAGCTACTACAAGGCTATTATGTTATAGGCTACTAGTAGTGAAAAGCGCATGCTTTTTGGCGGCAAAAAAGGATTAAAGTCTAGTTTTAACTAGCTAAAATTTTTTTATTCTCGATATTTTTGACCAATTAGTTGGATTTTACTAAAACAACAGTACATACAGTGTGGCATTTCTGTCGGGGGTTGGATAGCAGAAAGATGGAGTAAGTACAAGAGCGGGCGTTAAGGGCCGTCTACTGCGATTCGAGAAGTTCATACGATGAGCTCTTGAGAAAAGCTAAACTCATGACACTAGGCTGTCGCCGATTGCAGGATATAGCCATAATTATGTATAAGGCAAAGTACAATATGCCCTCCATAGATAACGGACATTTTTAAGCTAGATAAACCTCTCCACAGGCTCAGAAATTCTGGTGACTTTTTTATTCCTCGATTCAACACAACAACTTACGGGAGACAGAGCCTAAGATATGTGGGTCCAGTAATATGGTCTAAATTAAGCAAGGATGTAAAAAACACAGAATCAATTTACAGCTTTAAAAAGAAAATTCGTAAGGTAGATCTTGAAAAAGTAATCACAGAGGGCTGTAAAAACTGCTTTCTATGTTGTACATAAATGACATTTTCTCGACAGAAAGGACACCTCTTAATAAATAAGTATTATTTTATAATGATAAACCCGAACACGTTTTATCGATATTTTTTTAGTATGTATATTTTTGTAAATTTTATTCTTTGTAGATTTTTTTTAGATATTAATTAGTTAGAGCTGATAGTATTTTAATTTAGTGTCCCCTATTAGTAGGCCTTACATGGTCAGCTAGAAGACCTGACACTGAAATAAAGTTTATCATCATCATCATCATCATCAACAATTATTCCTCTCGCCCTCATGGCCTCTGAGTCAATAGCCCATTCGGCCTTTGGCCTCATGGGCTATTGACTCAGAGCCCATTTAGGCTCGAGGAATAATAATTATTGTTAAATATATGTTGTAGTTAATTTTTTGTCTCAGGTAATTTTTATTTTTCTTTTGTTTCAACTTCATTAGCATACATTAGCATACCCAAAAACAAAAGAGAAACAAAAATTACCTGGTATAAAAAATTAACTACAACATATACATGTATCTGCTTTGTTTCTTATGACCAAATCCAATAAATGCATGTTTTTAAACTTTTAACTCTATGGTAGAGAACTAACTTTGAGGTCTCAAGTATGATAATAACATCAATCCTCTAGTTCAGCAATAAAACACAGGGGCATAGGCAGGATTTTTCTATAAGGAGGTACGCACAACTTTAAAGTCCCAAATATTTTTCAGGTTTCTAGACTAAAGTTGAGGTTATGTTGTAAGCTGTTTACACTTCTGTTTAAATAATGACAAACCATGAAGTTGTAAAAACCTTTTTCACCATGGGCTCATTGACTGAACATATAAATTAGTTGTCATTAATCATGCCAAAAAGCTACTATCTTGTTTAACAAGTTGTTTTAGACTAAAAAAAGGGCGCAACATTTGCGTAATGTGCCCCACTTCAACTACTGCATCAAAGTCATCACAACCATCCCAGTTAGCCAAGACATCCTAGTCATAGTCATCGCAATCATCCCAGTTGTCCCAGTCATCTTAGTATAAATCCCAGTCATCCTAGTAATCAAAGCCACCCTAATCAACCCAATATCACCCTAGTCATCCCAACCATTCCAGTCATCCAAGTCTTCCCAGTGATCCCAGTAATAACAGTCATCCCAGTCACCCCAGTAATCCTAGTCATCCTAGTTATCCTTGTCAACCTACTCATTTTATTCAACCCAGTCATCCTAGTCATCTTTGTCATCCTCGTAATCCCAGTCATCCTAGTCATCCCAGTCATCCTAGTCATCCCAGTCATCCTAGTCATCCCAGTCATCCTAGTCATCCCAGTCATCCTAGTAATCCCAGTCATCCTAGTCATCCCAGTCATCCTAGTCATCCCAGCCATTCCAGTCATCCATGTCTTCCCAGTGATCCCAGTAATAACAGTCATCCTAGTCATCCCAGTCATCCCAGTCATCCTAGTCATCCCAGTCATCCCAGTCATCCCAGTCATCCCAGTCATCCCAGTCATCCCAGTCATCCCAGTCATCCTAGTCATCCCAGTCATCCTAGTCATCCCAGTCATCCAGGGCACAAAATTCACTTTTCTTTTCAAGGAGACATCTGGCTCCTTAATTTTCAAAAAATGTCACCAAGTCCGAAAAAGGAAGTAGCCATTTTTTTTTCAGAAAAAACAAAAACAAAAGCTACATGAAAAATTTATTACACATGTATAACAATGCCAAATTGCAAGGTTTCCTAGCTTTAGGAACACCTGAACATTTTTGTTGATATCTTTAAAAAATAGCAAACAACAATTCTGGTCATGTACTGAATCAAGAACAAACTTAGACTGTCATATATTACGAGTGCATGTAATATCAGCCACGTACTGTAAAATTCCAAAAATAAGCCCCGGGGCTTATATTTTTCAAAGGCCCTTTCTGAGGGGCTTACTTTTGAAGGGGCTTATATTCAGAGGGGCTTATATATACGGAGGGAAATTTGCATTTCAAAATTGACTAGCCTTATACTTGGAGGGAAATTTGCATCTCAAAATCTATTGGGCTAGCTTATAATTGGAAGGAAATTTATGTCAGTAATTTGCAGATAGGTTTTACTGAAACTGGCCTTGAGGAAATAGACCTTTCTAAAACGCAGCAATGCAAGTACTTTGTCTATATGGACCAAGGAAATCCAAGCCGAGAGTGAAGAGTGAACTACGCAAACAGCAATAAACTGTATCACTTTCTGACTGCAATCATTTGGCACACATAATAGTTCTTTAGCAAATACAAAAATTTATATGTTACTGTCAACGTAATTGCTTTGTTTTACCTTGCGTTTTGCTTTGTATTTGAGTGCAATTTCCAAGTACCAGCCCCCCGGGGCTTACATTTGGAGGGGCGATTTAATACAGTTTTTTTTGCGTTATAAGTTTGGGGGGCTTATAGATGGAGGGGCTTATTTTCGGAGTTCTACAGTATATCCCAGGAAGTCAGCCTAAAATCTTAAAAAT